CTTCATGTTAATGAATTAACAAACGAAAAATACAAAATAAAAAAAAAAAAAGGAAAAAAGTTGTTTAAGTTTATTGCACTATGTGAACTGCAGTGAAAGTCGTCTTCTCCTCACTCGGCCAACTGATACCAAATATAAAATTTTCTTGCCATTTTTTTTTTCTTTTCAAGATGTTGTTGTTGCTTTCATATTTATTACTTATTTTGCTAATGAAACGCTTTAGAAAATGCTTGTGTAATGTGTTTTTTTTTTCTTATATTCATTTTTTCCCAAATTTTTTTACACTAACAAAGTGAATTTTTTTTTTCTTTTAAGGAAATTTTATTCAGATATATTAGCCTGCAAAATTGTTATATACACATATATATTTTGCTATTTTAATTTATTTTGTTAAAGTTTACCGGTGTAGCGTTCGAGAAGCGTTGCTGTTTAGAGCGTGTTTAAGACTGATCTCTAAAACAGGTGGTAAGCAATAGAAGATCTTCTTTTCGTTTTTTTTTCTCTTTTTTTTTTTTTTTTCTTCCTTGCTTCATGTTTGTATCTCGTCTACATCTCATTTAGTTGAGTTAGTTGGAATTCAGTTTCATTGATTCGATGGTAAGTCGTTTTTAATCCGCCATAAAAATATGAAGATGATTGAAGTCGAATATAAATTTATATATTTATATATGTATATATATAATCGCATTAGCAATGATCATGATTATTAATAAAAAGAAAAAAAAGTTGCAAACATTTCCTTATTGTCCGTTTAATGAATAAAATGTATTTTAAAAAAAAACAGTGGACCTGAGATAGAGATAGAAATAGAGAAAAAAAAAAAAAAAAAAAAAAAATCCATGTAATGGCTACATTAAAGTTGCCAGCACGAAATATTCCATAAAAATTATTGCATATGCTGAAAATATAAAAAGGCTATCTAACGATATCGAATTTTGCTTTTTTCCAAAGTTAGACGCTCAGCAAACAAAACCGGATGAAAGCTCCTCCACTAAAGACAAAAATAATAAAGCTATAAAAGAAAACGCATCAGAAAGTGGCCACCAAGTAGTAAAAACAAATGGAATTATATTCGTTCTTGACCGAATCTTCTATACCCATCACTGTTAGTCTATAAAAAGACAAAAAAAGTCAAAGAACTAAATATTCATGCTGTCTAATATGGAGCGGGCGCGATTGATTATTTCAATTTTCAAAATGACAGTTCTTGTCGCATACGCATGTGGGCTTGAAAGGTTCAAGTCACTTCCAAATTCTTTTGCCAAATTTGTAGGCGATATCTTCATATTCGCTAACGTTTACCACACACACTACACAGTTGCGCAAAAAGATAGGTGGTCACACGAACCCACGACATATTTACGTACATCCCAAATTTGAAACTGATGAAGAATTTGTATACATTGAGGTTTTTGGAGCTTGTTTATGCGCCTTATAATGGTATTGAAAAAAAAAATAAATAAATTTTGATATACTGTAATATTGGGTAGGCGTGGTCAATTTTTTTTCCATTTTTCTACACGTGCTACAGCATCGCCCATAGAATATGCTGTTGCATCGATCTCAATATTATTCCCCACTACAACTAACTGCTCCCCATCAACGAAATGAGGGCACAATTCTGCATTTTTAAAAATTATAATTCTCCAAGGGGAAGAAAGAGTACAATAATGCTTCACCTGATTGCTTCAACATATTCTCAATTTCAATCGCATTTTTCGCTGAATAAATACTCATGGGAAGTAACAAATTTATATATATGTATACATCGAAGCGTCAAAAACAGTCATCCCATGTTTTTCCGCCAAAGAATTGATGCTCTCAGCGGATGAAGTATGGGGTGTTGTAGCGTCGTGAAGAAAAACAATATTTTTTCGGTTCGCCAATCCTGAATCCTTTTGCCGTAACCATTATTATATTGCAAAATTATTTGCCTACACCAAGATTGCGTGCCTGCAACAACGTCACGTTTGCCATTATAAAACTAATGTCATCAATATGAAACAGTTTACTTTCACCTCTCGGTACAACATTCATACTTATGTTAAAAGTTTGATCGGGTTTTTGCGGTAATTTATCTGCTTTAGTTTCCGATGCGTTGACATCCATTTAACTAAAACGTTTTCAATTCAATCAGATTTTTATGACCTTTCTTTCGATTCGCTGGTATATCTATCGATCGGCTTTCTTATAATGAAGTATTGCCTTTATTCATGAAGCAAAACGCAAAACCTTTAATCCCTAACCAATAATTTTTCACTCTGCGATTAGCATGCAATACAAAATCATAACGTTCGCCACCGTGGAACATAATCTGTTGGACTTTTAAAGGTTCGATATCATTACCATTACTAGCTATCACCAATAGATCATGTTAATCTATACTTAAAGAAACCGGACAATTTGTTACGCCATTGAATATTACACGAAAACGACAGCGTCGTCTTTGCTTGACAGCAAAGCGAGAGAAGACAGAGTGGCAGGGGAAGAAAGAGAGGACGATGTAGAACAAATAGAAGACAGAATACCAGGGGAAGAAAGAGAGAACGAGGTAGAACAAATAGAAGATGTACGAATGACAGACGATGTAAGTAGAGCGCCATGTGTACGTAGGCTAGTAAATAAGTACCTAATAAGCCCGCATCTTTCCGCGGACGAACATGACACCAGCGGCCCGTCAACATCGGCCTATGCTAGCCTTTGGGAGCAGTTAGAGATGGTTGAAGCGGAAAGAGAGAAATTGAAGCGACGGCTAGCGAGATATGAAGGCCAGGAGGTACAACCGAAAGCTGACAACGTGGTGCTGGATGTGCAGACGAGAGGCCGTAAACAAATTGAGTCCGCTCGAAAAGATTGTGCAACTCAGCTTTAACGAGGTCTTCACAGACAATGCAGTGGTTTATTCGCGAGCGAACGTTGCATTAAGTGGTTGAAATTACCTCGACGAAACCAAGAAATTCCCGTTCGCCTGCAAAAAGGTACTCGTGTTCGCTGTAAGGAGCCTGGCGACGCCGTTCAACATGGTTTTAAGCTACCATCCCTGCACAAAACCAAATTTAATATCGAATAAACTAATTGACAATCTACACCTTGCAAAAGAAGTTGGTTTCGAAGTCCGAGCGGTAGTATGCGACCGGAATACCGCATATAAAAAAGCTGTAAACGCATTAACGGCTGTAGTCGTTTTAATACACGATTACCTGCACCTCATCGGAACATATAGGAGATGAAAAAAAGGACAAAAAAAAAACGACTTCGCCACAATTAGTGAAGTTGTACAAACAAATGGAAACCACTATTAAATTTTGGGCCCAACGAGGAGCCGTTTTAACGATATCATCATCACGGCGAAGCGATCCAATTCTTTAATGAGGCCATGCCAGCCGTCCTGCGAGCGGCCATCAACGAAAATGATTCCTGCAAGTCCCCGAAAAGGCGCAGCGGACGTGCGACTTATTCGAGTTGGTAACGAATTTCACCACTGTTTTCCATAGGAGCTCCGTAACGGCTTAAAATGTGAAGGAGCTCAACTTCAAACTTCAAAAAATTAACACATGCCTGTCAAACGAATTTAAAAAGGACGGCCTTACCATTGCTACAGAAGAAGCAAGCATTAATTTCATAAAAGTAATTGAAGAATTAACAAAGGCTTACCCTGACACAAGTTTCGCCTCATGCAGGGAAAGACAAGAAAAGGACCAGACGAGGCAACGAAATCATGCAATTATGCAAACGGCTGCAGCACTTGCATGCCTTTAAACTTCAGAATGGATACAATATAATGAACGATTACACATTAATCGATGATATGAGTTATAAAATTGTGGAAGAGCCTGAAGAAGACTTCTCACGGTACGGGCTCGGCGGAGAGCAGTTTACAGACCGCCGCAAGAGGCAACTAAAATACCACGAAGTTAGATACATGCGACTGTACACAGCCTTCGAGACATGACGGAAGACAGCGGCAACTTTTACGAGGGGGTGATAGGTCAAAAAACTGCGAAAGACCCCATAAATAACATTGTAATAACAACCAAACATATTAATCCAGCGTTGCTGAAAGCAGAGGGGTTCGTAGTATTCGAGGAAGCGGCTGAACTCTTCCACTCAGCGATGGAACAGAAAATGATGGAAAAGAACATCTGCAAACGCATACAGGCTACCGTGGTGGAGCGAATTGCCTTTTTGAATACAGCCGGATCGTGCGGGAACGGCATGGTTTATAGAAGAAACTTTCTCAGATTAATACTGTTCCTGCTATTAAAATCGAAAAACATCAGGGAGCCCATTGATGAGAACGTGTCTTAGTACTAAGATAATTCAAATGTTTTGTCAACATATTTAAAAACTTCTTAATAACGTTCTTTCTTTCTTTTTAGATTAAAGATTTCTCTCATTTGTAAAAAATTAGCTGCAAAGAAGAATATAAACAGCTGTTACAAAATGAATTATTAATTCCGAAATTTAAAAAAAACTAAATGTGTCCGAAAGTTCATTTGTGAATTGTGAAGAAAAACAATAAAAAAATATTTGGTAAAAGCAAGCAGAATTTTTTTTTAAATATCAAGCTATATTGAGATAACTATAGTCTAACACAAATTCCACATAATTTTCTATTCATTTCATTTTCCATTATCGTTATTGTTTACCATATATATTTTTACCTGCTTATATTATTACCCGCCTGTATTGTAAGATTTTTTTATTAATTAATTCCTGTAGTTAAGTGATATACGTGTAAGCAGTTCCAGCAGGCACCCACTCTCACCGCAGCCACCACGGTTTCTGATGTAAACGTATTGGTTTTTTATATTTATGTTGATATCTTTATTCTTTAATCGCCTTGACAAATTAAAAATATCTGCCTATTTTTTGGTGGTGGATATAAATAAAAATAACTAAAATTGAGCAGTGTTGTATTTATTATCGAAAATATATGTTCGTTCGAATTTCTGCTTATTATCCCTATCGATCGTTTTGTGGGGAGAGAAATTCATAACCTACGGCAACACTAACAATAGTGAGAACTGAGGTGTATGAATAGAAAATAAAAACATTTTTTCATAATTTCTAAAAAGTTACAAAAAAAATGCCTGCACTTGACGTAAACGCTATGAAGGTGAGCGTAATTATATTGAAAGACAAGAATTTACCCATTTTTATCCTTGTGAATTGTTGAAATTTTTTTTGTAGGTGGCAGATCTTAAACGAGAACTGAAGATACGCGGCCTTTCCATAAGTGGTAATAAAACTGAATTGCAAGAGCGTTTGCAAGCGGCAATTGAAGGTGATCCATTATTAGAAGATTCGGCAATTTCTGGCGAGGACTTACTAGACGAAGATGCAGTGTTATCGGATGAAAATGACTTATTGCAAAGCCCTACAGCTGTATTGCCTACATTATTACCGAAATCGTCAATAGATAGTAAGAATATTAGCGGGGCGGCGGAAGATGATTTGTTGGAGTCATCATGTCAAAATTTCAAAAAAATTGTATTAAAACGTAAAAATTCAATTACGACGAATCCAACAACAGAATCAACAGAAACAAAAGTATCAACGTTAACAACACATAAAGAAAATAGTGAGCATTCGGTAAATAAAGTTATGAAAATGAGCGAACGTAATCCCATAACAATGATTAGCGCGAATAATAAAAAGGGTAATGACAATAAAATAATTAAAAAAGTTGGAGAACTTAGTATGCAAGAGCGTTTAGAGCTGCGTGCTAAGAAATTTGGCATAAATGTATCAACAGCGGAGGACACTGGCACTTCAAAGGATGTCGAAATTCAAGGCACAAAACGAGTGACGACAATTGCTAGCAAACCGGCCGTAGTTAACGATGAGAAGCAATTAGAAATATTAAAGAAAAGGGCAGAGCGTTTCGGTTGCGTTATATCAACAAATCTTGCTAAAGTTGATGCTGAAGAAAAACTATTAAAACGTAAAGAGCGCTTTGGTGCCGAAACAATTATTGCGGACGCTAAAGCTAAGACTACAAATATTAACAATATTACGAAAGATGAATGGGCTGAAAGAGCACGCAAACGCATGGAACGTTTCAAAACAAATGCATCTACTAATAATAATGTGACTAATATCAATGTCACAACAGCTTCGACAACAGCCGCAGCTGCTAGCAATTGAAAATGCACCCGCTTTGAAAAATTATATAAATTGCTGTCCTTCTATTTTCATCCTTATAGTTATAACGGACTAATGTGTTTTAATTTGTATTCTACTTTTTTCAATTTTTTTTTTTTGATCATTTAACTAAAATAATATTATTGAAAAGATATTGTTGTGTTACGGTTACGATTATAATTTTTGGAGTGGGAGATAGATGAGAGTAGTCCAATGGCAATTTAAACAGGTACGTTTCTCTGCAGACGAGAAGTTCGAAATGGAAGTCATTTGAAATATATATGTCAATGCTTTTCATTGGTAGCTTTGCTTACGCATGTCTCAATTGAATTTCTCTCCGAGCATCTAACCCAGGAAGACGTCAATAATTGAAATTACTACTAAACCGGCTTCGGCTATGTTACATTTTAGGACTCTTATCGCAGGCGTAGAACAATCCATCCGTTTGCAAGTGTCAGGTGGCAGCTTCAAATTCTTTTGGTTATTTTAATAGCGGAGATCAGTAATAATGCTGGCCTCGTTGCAGTTTGCAAAGCAACTGTACCAAGCGAATGCGGTTTAGGCAAAAATCGGCCCCATCTGACAAATCGGCATCGCCGGGACCCCTTAGGTTGGTAAACTGGTTTGGCGATGACGTAATGTTCCGCCAAACGTATTGAAAAATAGCTTTAGCTTATTAAAACACTGCGTACGCTGAATATTCCATCTCCTTGAAAGTAAAAACGTCTCTTTTCTTTCGGATTCTTGTCAATAGGATCGGTAACATTATAAAACTATAGTTTTTTCACTTGTTTTTAACTTATGCCAATCATTTATAAAAATAACTGTAACAAGGTCATATCTGGTGTTAACTTTTTAGCGCAGAAGGAAAAAAATTGTCAAGGGGGACTCAGGTGGCGCTTGTTCTTTTTCTCAATGTATAGTGCATTGCCGACGGGCATATTGAATTAGTTTGTGAGTTTATAACACGTATTGTAGATTATATTTGCTTAATGTCTATGGCTGGATCAATTTGCCCCCCTTTGAGAAGTCTATCTACACCTTTTGTATTGAAATATGAAAGTGTTACCAAATTTTTTTTCATATTACTCGCCCTTTTTGTCGAGCTTTGATCAAAAATATACGAGAACGATGCACGAGCCAACCTCCACACCATCTTGCATCACGTTCAGAGTCTCATATTCTCATCAGATTTAACAGAAATTTAGGGTCGCTTACAAAAATTAATAACCTTCGTCATCTTAAATCTTTTACGTACCTGATATATGAGGCCGTTTATAAAAAGCTATTCATTTCCACTAAATTTTAAAAATCCTATCTTTTTTTCAAATACTTTGTTAATACAATTTTCATGCGGCATTCAAGGATCAGCCAAGTTGAAACCAAAGATTTTTCCACAATAATCGGAAAGTCATATATAAAGTGATTCTGGTCTGATCATTGAAAACATGTTTTTTTTGAAGCTTCATCTGATGAAGTGATGAACACAAAAAAAAAAACCACCAAGAGTTGGTCCGACGCTTGAATATTTGCAAACGCAATTTCGCTGAAGAATAGGGAGTATGGAGACGAAGAAAAATGTGCTTTCGCCGTTAAGAGGCAGTAGTATAAAAGTAAGGGAATTCTGTTCAAATTTTCACGATGTGATATGATAATACGATTTATTTCTAGCGAACGTAATCCGAGCGCCCATCTTGCAATCACATATCGTGGACAAGGTAGAAGTTAATGTTGACGAATACCACGCGGTCCCATATGAGTACAATTTCTTTTTGTACGCTATCTGATATTTGGCACGAAACTATATTATGTTTGCACGTTACAACCGAGCCTTGAGACCTACTGTACCGAACGATGATCTAAGCGTCAATCTTATTTTCTTATGTTCGACATATTACCCGACATTTTGATGGAAGTTAGTACACTAAAAGTGTTTGAGACAAAAGACGAGATCTATTGGCAATTGAATTCAGATCAGACCAATGTTTTGTTCACTTACCACATAAAGTATTATCTTGAAAACTTATTATATGAATAATTCCAGTGTGGTGTAGTGCATTCAAGTGTGGATCATGTCCCACTGGTGTTTTCACATTATGATTTTTATTTGAGTTAATGACTGAAGCGGCTCCGTACATCTATCTGCATAGTTTGGGGCAAATGTAGAATTCTCAATATCCGTTAACCTTCATCGTAATTTAAATATGTTACTCTTCGTTCGTACGACGGAAAAATATTTTGTTCGTTGTAAGAGGAATGAATACCGTATAGACAATTCTTTAAAATTTTTACTCGTTATAGCGAGGCAGTTATGCACCGCTACTAAGCTTGCTCGAGTGGGAGCCGTACATATTAGGGTTCGGCAACCTTTTTTGGCCACCAGTCAAAATCAATTAAAATATGCGTTTTAAAGAGACATTTGGTTTGGTGATAAATACATAAACACTTGTATGTATACGATCCATGGGTCATCGAACTAAAATTTTGTTCTTGGCTTTGTAACTATTTTCAAATTGGTTTATTCTCAAAATGTTCGTTTAATGTGTGCGCTTTATAATATATTTTTATTTATTACGCGTTATTTTCGGAACTAAACTGGGTCGCTTGACATTATAAAATGGATCAAGCGATAACTCACGAGTCATACGTTGCCGACCCCTGTCTTGATTTTCATGACAAAATTCCATTTTCGTCGTCTTAATTCGACACTTTACTTCTTCTTCTTATTCTTGTGTTATTCAGCAAATTCAACAAGCGAAACACTTACTATTATTATTTGCTCGCTAATGTCGTTATACTTCATTTGTTGTTTTATAAATTGAATTTTTTAAATTAATTCCGTTCAAATCCATTCCGATACATCATTAGTCAATTTACTTTTTTTATCGTTTATTTTAAAACGTATGTTTTTTTTTCGCTAAAACTACTACATGTGTTATGATATTTTACTCAAATGTCGGTAGATAATGCATATAATAAAAATGCTATTATATGTGTGATTTACTTATAAAGGTTGCGGCGTTCGACGATTACCTTTTGTCGTTTTCAATTTAAATATATTCTAAAACCATTTATATATATATATATATATATATATAAGGTGGTATCAATGAATGATCTCTTTTAAGATTCGTTTTTCATCTTCTTCACGTAGTACGTAAATCTCTAAATTTAATAATATAAGTTGCAATTTAACGAAATGAAAGACGAATTCTCGGAGAAATTATTGTTAAAGTGTAAAATAAAGTGAGAAAAAGAAAAAACATTAAACATTTTAGAAATAAGTGACTTTAATAGTGCGTCCATCCATGCGTGAACCGTCCATAAGGCCTACAAGAATAAAAAAAAAAAAAAAAACGAAACATTACAATAAATAATCAGACACATACACACACACACGCACACAATGTATTCAAAGCAAAAGATCATACCTATGGCTAATTCAGCATCACGTTCTTTGAAAAATCTTACTACTCCTACGTCATTGCCTCGTATTTCAGCAAATTTCACTTCACCCACATCGCGGAATTTGTCACGTAATGTTTGCCAAGTGCAGGTCAGCGGAATCTGTATTATGGAAGAGGACCGAAATTTTGAAAATTTACATGCATATATATATACATGTACATGTACATACACATATATATATATATATATATTTGGAAAAATTTTAAGCTTACATTTTTAATGATAATCGTATCGGATTTGCGTACATTGCTTCCGGTATTACCGGTGCCTGAGCACATGTCCATTGTGCTAGCGCCGACATTAAAATCTTTATTATCAATAGCTGGACCAGCATTGCCTGGACCGACACCACTCCCGCCGCCACTATTATAAGAAATAAAACCGCCTCCCCCTCCGCCGCCACTATTTCCTGGGCCCGTGTTAAAACCCGAACTTTGCCCAAAACCCGAACTGTAATTATTGCCGCCAGTGCTGTAGTTATTGGATAAGGCGGCATTGCCCGATGACATGGAATCATCGTTACCGGCCGGTAGAGAGCCTTGATTGTTACCCAAATTTAAGCCTAGATTGCTAAGTGACGACGTTAATAACGGATTGTTAAGAGCAGCTCCCAGACCTCCCACTACATTAGTTAGGGCTGCCAAATTAGATGTATTCAAGTTGCTTAAATTCAAATTTGTATTCAAAGGCATGCTGCTTTGGGATTTATTGGACGCCACAACCGGAGCCACTGGAGAAGGTTGTATTGAATTGTTATTACCAAACATGCCACCCAAACTACCGCCACCCATGTTGTTACCCATATTACCACCTCCTCCGCCTCCGCCACCTCCCATATTAGGACCACCCCCCATCATGTTGCCACCGCCGCCACCACCCATTTGCTGCGACGGTTGTTGATTACCTTGTTGCTGCTGTATAATATTCGGTAAATTACGGGCTACATCTTTTAATGGTTCACCATTAGGACCTTAAAAATGTGTATTACAAATGTATCGTTTTTAATATATAGCACATAACCTAAGATAGAAATAATCATTGAGACTTACCTAGGCCAATGCCAACACCGCCCAAACCTTCGGGTAATTTCAAACCTTCACTCTTATCGGGTATACGATCGAGACGAACGGTCATACGACGATCGAACAACATTTGACGATCCAACATAGATATTGCCTGTACGGCTTCAACTGGATGATCATATTCGACAACAGCAAAACCTCGACTATTGCCATCTTTGTCTAACGATAAATCGACACTTTGAACTTTACCGGCCAATTTGAAGACTTGCTTAAGCTTCTTAGAGTCCACTTTATAATCCAACTAAGATTAGAATTTTCACATAAAACAGATTGTATTTTAGTAAAGAAAACCCATTTCTAAGGGTAACACAACGTTGCCTATTATATATAGTCTTTTGGAATTGGTAACGACTGCAAGTGAAGAGTGGTGACAACAAAAAAAAAAAACCCTTAACAAATCCATATAAATAGTTTACAACGAACTTTACGCCGCACGTGACAAAATGTTATTAAGAGATAGCGAAGAAGCAAAAAAAAAAAAAAACGAAACCATTGACGAAAAGGATCGATCGACATCAACCACAAAATATAGTAATAGATAGGTGAAGGAACAATCACAAGAATGCACTTTGTAGAAGTACAATAAACGCTTCAATACTTCAATCTTTTAAAGAGATTAGATCAAGCGCGTTAACTTGACATTGAAATAATTATGAATACATATATATGTGTATATATATATACATATATAGATGTAGAGCTTTTTTTATCAAGCGAATGAAAAAGGGAATGAAAAAAAGATCATTTTATTTTACTTTGCAGTCACAAACCAAAAAATATTTGATGCTTTTCCTTCTTGCTTGTTCTGGCGCATCTCTCTCTCTCTCTTTCTCTATTTCTATCTCTCTTACAACTTCTTCTTCTTCTTATTAAGATGCGCCTTTTTTTTACCGCAACACAATGTTTAGATAGAAAATTAAAAGTATGGAAAGAAAGTATGAATGAAAGAAACACAATACTCACATTAGCAACAAAAACTTTATTATGCAAGGGTCCAGTAATGCCAAGACTCTCCAAAAACGAAGCAGAAAGCCCATAATAATTGTAATTCGACGATGGATTATTATAATCATTATTGCCCATCATGTTAAAATTATTACGCCCAGATCTAAAACAAAGAATTCAATAAACACAACGCCATCATCATCATTCAACAACAACAAAAACCAACAAACAAAAACATCAGCATCAATACAACAAAACAGTCAATCAATCAATCAATCAATCAATCTTGATCAACCTGCGATAGATATGATAGATATGTCGTCGAAAATTGCTGAAAAGGAAATTTTAACCAAAATTTTATGAATGCAACAACAACAATAAAGCAATCGCTCCGCACTCTACTTATTTAATTCTTATTTACTTACAATTTTTATAAAAACACTCGCTTTTTTTTTTTTCTTTTTTTTTTACCCCTTTTTTTCTTAACTCTTATATCCCGCAGTTCAAGCAGAAACATGTGCCAACAACAATAGTAGTAATATATTGTTGCAGATAATGAACGTAAGCAAAAAAAAAAAAAAATTTTACACACTGCTTCCCATACGTTAGTGTTTTTCGTTACCCCGCTAATGGTCGTCGGAACATCTGATGATTCAACATGTTGATATCTACCGAATTCCGCTAATCAAGGTTCATCGATGAAGGGATGAATACGCAAAGCCCAAAATAATCTGTGGAGATGCATCTTCCATGGAATACTTCATAATTGCTCGAAAAAAACCCCGAAGCAATGGAAATAGAATGAAATTTGTCTTGCAGGAAGTAAGGCAAAGGGCAAATGGAAATTTGCTTATTAGGTGTACAAATAAGTTCCTTTCGTTAAAATTTGACACATTATTCCAATTAACCGAAATTTGATGAATACATAGATTATATATTAATTAATAAATGAGGTAAAGTTTTTTCCCACTCAATATATTAGGGTATGCCATAAGTTTTTTCTCCCACCCCGCTACGCAGACTATTACAAAATACGTTTCGTTCGCGATAAAGTCTCTCTTCGCCGTCCAATATGAATAGCCAAAGAAAGCATTTGTGGCATGCCTCGCTTCATTGCTTTAAAAAAGGTAGTAGAGTACTGCAAAGGACACTGCAGTAGAGTTTTGCACCATTTGTGAGAATTTCCTTAAGAAATTTGAAGCTGGCAATTTTGAATTGAAAGATGAAGATCATAGCGATTGCGGACCTTGTCAAAAGCATGCTCGCTGAACATCCGCTATAAAGTGGATGCCACTAGCATTCCCATGACAACGGTACATAATCATTTAATCAAGATGGGGTATGTGAATCGGTATGAAATTTAGGTCCGATACCAATTGACGGAGAGAGATCTTATGAAAAAAATCGTTTTTTAACGGCGGCGGCCTGCCGCCGTAGACGAGACTTGCATTTTGTGTGAAAATGTGCATCAAAAATGCAGTTGATCTAAAGAAAATCGACTTTCAAGTGTTGTGAAGCCAAGACTTCATCCGAAGAAAGTTATTTTGTGCATTGTGGATGGGACTGGTATGGTCTAAGTCTACTACGAGCTGCTTCCACAAAGCGAAACTATCTATTCGATAAGTTGAAAGCCATCATATAGTCGAAAAACGGCCAAAATTGGCGAACCGACGAGATGTCGTTTTTCATCACGACGCAACGCAAGATCGTATGTTGCGTTGGCCGTAAGACAGAAACTCTTACAGTTTAAATGAGACGCTCTATCTCATCCTCCCTACTCTCATCCGACTATTACTTATTTCTCTCGTTAGAAAATGTTCCGTGTAATAAATATCACTCACCTCGATGAATAAATTGCAAGTAAGCTTTAACTACGTTGGAAAGAGAGCATAATAAGGTTTCCTGAGAGATGGAAGAAGGTAATAGAGCAGACCTGTAAATCAATCTTAAACAGCAAATATTGTACGTTTACTGATTTCGCATCAAAAAAAAAAAGGGGGAAACTTATGGCACACCTTAATATATTCAAGTTTAAATAGTTGGGTATCGTTTATGGCACTGCGATTTTCTGTGTTTTTAACTGCATTAAGCAGAAAAAGAATGCAGCCGAAGTTAAGCAAATAATTGAGTTGGCTTGGAATATAAAAAAAATTTTATAGTATTTCTTTTCTAAAAGTAAAATGGGAAGAAGCGTATAAAAGCGTTATAATAAATGCCTACTCCTAGGCATTACAAGCACATGAAAGCTTAGCAGATCTTTAGGAGCATGTAAGCATAGCAGCGAAATGTACACACGTGGATTGAGGTTCCAGTAGTGTACATAAATTATCCCAAAGAAAAATTGATCAATCACTGATCTTTGCTCCCATAATATATATTTTTCATATTGATCGAGATTTCATAATTCAATAATTTACACGTGCAACGGAAGGAATTAACCAATAGAAACACCATAAATTATTATCGAATAGATTTTTTTATTCCGCTTGAGCCTTGAATTATTTAACTACCGTTAACGGCAGTCTTCTTTTCTACTTAAAAATATCACATAATCTTTTTCTGTCACTTTCCAAAAAATAGTATCTTTTTCGGTCAATCTGCCGAAACAGGTGTTTATTTACATCGCGCAAGTGAGAAAAGATAACTCATCGAGCTAAAAATAATTGTAATTGAAAAAAAATATACTCCTACACGTCCCCTCTGTAGATGCAAACTTTGCTGCCGAGTCAGGGATTTTAGGATATGAAGATCCGAAAAATTGAACCAATAAAAAGGCCAGAATTGCGAGCTGCAAGCTGAACACATGAAAACAAGACAGACAGACAGACTTATGTCGATATAAAAAGTGATTCTGAATCGGTCGGCATAATAAAAAGTAGATGTATTCTAAGGGTTTGCATACATTCGCACCGATTTAATATACCCTTGTATTCGACTGAGTCACGAAAAGCAAAAATATCTCGACTAGCAAATCAGTGGTCGTCGGTTCGAGTCTCAAGCGCGGTAGAGTTTTTAATAAACCTGGATGGCCTTAGATTTTTATTTTAAAATTTATTTCTCTTGCGAAATTAATAATAATAATAATAATGTACCTGGTACTACAAGTGGTGTAAGGTATAGAAAAAAATGTTATATATTTGAAGCACTTCCTTCCCTTTTTTACTTATGAAATCATAAAAATGCTTTGTGACCTTGTATATACATGTGCAATGGTCAATTAGTGCTAATAATCAATCACTGATTGAAACCGTTCAAGTAAAGCCTAAAATCCGTTTCCAATTTTCGAAATTATTACCTGAAATAATTACAAGTCTTACTGAGCCCAGCTGGCAACACCAACTTACTTAGAATGTAACATAAATAAATCCAAGTAAGTAGATAACTAATCTCATCTCACATTAGACTAATTGAAAAGTTCATAGAACGATGCCAACTCTGATACAAAGCCGATGCAAAAGAATTATAAAATTTACTATACATTAAAGTCTCGTTGCTATATGTCAGAACAATCGTGAATTTTCACGGCGAACTTCGAGTTGAAAGCTTGAACACAGACCCCAATGATTTTACGATAGCAATGGGGCAAAAGAGATACATACAACCAGTGCATTGAGAAAGTGCTCCTGCGAAGGCAATGAAGAATAAGCAAGCGCAAAGGATAGGCCGACCGCCGATTTCAATACGTGCAACCGTCCATATACTAAGCCAATGAGATTAATTCGATGCAGGATACAAGTAAAAAGATGATGTGCAAGTGTAATTAGGGTCTTTAACTACTTGGAATAGGGGAGGGGTGAATAGATATTTTCAAAAATTAATTTACTTCGAGCAAAACCTTCTATATATTATAAAAAAAAAAAAAAAGTATCACTGTCAAGCGAGCATTTACAATATCAAATAGGCTGATTGAGCTCCTTGAGCAGGGAGAAGATCGACCAGAAAGATTACGGCTGATAATGAAAAGATATTTTATTGCTTAATTACCATTGATCCTCCGTAAAGCAATCGTTTAAAAATACCCCTCGGATGACTTAAAGGAAGATAAATCAGGAAGAGGAATAAGAAAAAAAAAAAAAAACAATCTCTAGGCTCAGATAGAGGGCGGTCTTCTCATAAGGAAAAATTTCAAAGAACCCCAAGCAATAACAATTTCTTAGCGACAATAGATGAAGACTTTCGACGATCTTCTCCAAAATCGACTCGGAAAACGAATACAGGATCAAGAAGCTAGAAGCCCAGCATAAAAAGCTTAAAAAGGCATGTATATGCAGAAAATAAAATAAATAAATGAATTTACTTCTCGCAAAAAAACCTACATTTACTTTCTTCGTACGCGAACTTTTCAATTAGCCTTGCACTACGTTGACAGCTGAAACCCCTTGCTGTCCTTATAAATTATAAATACATTATTAAGTTAATGACAATATTATATCATATTAAACGCTACATAATATAAGCTAAATAAATGAAGAAATTTTTAAAATATCGCTAGTAAGTTACTTATCATACTTAAATGATTTTATTCTTACAAATAACTAAAATTTTGAGAAAACATCTTTCCTCGGTGGAAAAATCGAGACTTAATCCACAATTTTCTTCTTTTTTTTTTTTGCTGAAACTACTTCTCAACACTATGGAGATAACACTTCGAGTCTTCCTCTTTCATTTCCAGCCTGAAGCTAAGGGCTCTTTAAATCCATTACTTATGGATGAATGGCAGCTTTCACATATGTAACGGAACACATTTGTATAACGAAAGCGATGGAAGCCTTTTTCAATTCTTCCTATAGCGTAGGAAAGCTTTGCGAATACAAACTTGAAGATTGGCATGAATAGTTCCTTACATATAATAATCACAGATGATTGTCGCAAAATTCGAATTTGGAAAGCAATGTAACTGCTGGCCCCGCAATCGACAAAATGACACGCCCACAGCTAGCCCAACATATTGATTCTGACTGAAGCACATGCAAGACTACGCTTAAAACAAATACAACTATACTATTTTATTAATTTATCTAATGCATTGAATCCTTAGGAGAATCATCAACATTTTGCATGAAGAAAATCACTTAACGACTTCAATACTAAGAGCACATATATGCAAAGCGTACACACCTTACAATATAAGCTAAGTCAAATCGAAATTCTCTTACACGGAGACCACTTTAAGAATCCTTAATTGATTATAAAAAAAAAAAAGAATGCTCCTTAAGTAGACATATTTTCTCCTATCAAAATATGCAACTGGAAAGCCCAGGTGTTTTCGTTGACTACATATGAAAAGAAGCAATACCATCGCTCTTCTTTCTTTCCTTGACCAATTTCATAATAGGAATCACGCATAGAGATAAAGATTAACCTTCTTTTAAAAAATATGTACTTCTTTTATAGAACAGAATACTCACAATCTATCATCATCACGACGCGAAAATCCGCGATCACCGCGATCGCCAGAAATGCTGCCGCCACCGCCGCCCATGCTACCGCGGCCACCGCCGCCGCCGCCGCCGCCACCTCCACCACCACCACCGTCACGTATAATGCGGCCATATTGATCGCGTTGTTCGCCATGATCTTCCTTGACCACTAACTCGCGGCCATTAATTTCGTAGCGATTCATTTTCTCCAAAGCCTTTTCAACATTGTCAGGATCTTTGAATTCTACAATTCCACAACCACGTGCTTTCCCATTCTCGTCATGAAACAATTCAACATATTCTACTGAGCCGACAATACGCCGAAAGACATCTTTCAAATCTTGCCAACGATAATCATAGGGTATGTTAGATATGTAAACGCGACAGTTGCGTCGTTCACGGCTGCGATCACGATTGCCACTGCCACCGCCGCTATTGCTGCTTGGAGGATCAGCATCGGAAAATCGAGAGCCACGAGTACCTCGTCCACGGCGATCGCGTTCTTTTTCACGATTCTCCGAATTATTATCCATTTTAAGTTTCTCACTTGTAATTGCTGTTAAAAAATATTAAAAATGATATTGTATGAACAATATAGGACGCCGTTATTTTAATTCGTACTGGGTAAATGGGGAAAAAATTAAAATGGCGTTTTTCTTATACATAAATTTCATTTTCTTTATTCAATTTTTACTTACAGTAAATATTTAATAGTATAGTATATTTTTCTTGTCCGAGTTTTCGACTTTTTAATACCAAGAGTAATTATATATAGTTATTAATAGTTAAAACTGCTAAATTTTTTCCTGCGGATGCAATATATAAAGACACACCAAACCAAACCAAATCAATAAGTTAATAGCGGACAAAGAGAAGCGGCGCATTAAAAATGGCGAAAATTGTTTGCAAACGAGAACTAGGTAGCATTTGTTTCGAAATTCGAAGCACATTTACTTGTGATCTCATTCCATAAAGCGAATTTAGTAAATATTATTTCTAATTTCGTTTCTATATAATACTTACATTCCTTTCGTTTCGATTCGATTCGTTTCTCATAAAATTGAACTGCAAATAAAGTGCAACATGAATTAAACTTATTAAGTATTTCAAATTATAAGAAAAATTATTATATTTTTTCGATAAGCGTTTTTTACATACAGAACACATAAAAAATGCCGGGTCCAATCTTGTAATAGCCGCAGACTTTATCTAGGCATATATGAAAAAAATTCTCTATCAAAAAAAAAAGAGGTGAAACAAATGGAATTTGTTGTTTGTAAAACGGACGGAATGATGAACGATAATATCCCATCAACATAAAAAACGGTTAAGGACAGTTTAATAATATTTTTCTTTTTCTTAGTCAAGCTTTCAACTTTCCAATATCTAAAGAATTTATAGTGAAACTTGTTTAATTTTTTTCTGCGAATATATACCATAGACACTAATCAATAATTAGAAGAGTAAAGGATTGAAATGCTTGCTTTTAACTGATAAAAATGAACGTAATACTCTACGCTAATTACAGAGCGAAATCTATGCTAATTTGCAAAGCCGTCGGCAAAAGTTCCCAATTTGTTCCTCTTTTACAGCATTCAAAAAATACTTCTTTTGCTTTGCTGTCTTGGCAGTACTGTTTGAGGTGTTTTTTCGTATTGTATTTGTACAAATTTTGTGAAAAAATTTAAGAATTGAAGCATCTCATAAAATTTATAAAATTATTTTTTTTCATTATTGTATTGAAATAAAAAGGCGAAACTATGTCTACATTAGATTTGTGCGAAGAGTATTTCGAAACGCGGGATGCTAACGAAGTCTTCGGTGTAGCAAATAACGCCAAATAAAAAGAATTAAAAAAGGCTTAATATAAAATATCTTTGCTCGTTCATCCAGATCGTGTACCAGAAGAAGAAAAATAGACAAAGACAAGAGAGAATTGTATGATGAACAAGGAATTATCGATACGATTCAAATACTGCTACATACAGTATACGCAGTTATAAATAGAAGACGCAACTCTGGCAATCAGCTGGTTTTGCATGTTTCTTGTAAGAAAATAATTTCATATCTTTAAAAATGCTCGCCCGTAAATTAATAATAAATCAAAGTATTCAGTCCTTGTGTCGAAATATGCTTAAGTTAAATATTCAGCAACAAACTAATAGAACCGCAGCTTTTCTATTAAGGTATAATTTTTGTTACTAAATTAAAAAAAATGAAAAATTTTATATTAGCAATAGCAGCTCTCGACGACCGAAACGCTTGTGCTCTACTATTGTGCCGGCTTTAGGAAATCGTTATTTTTCGACTCCAAGTGCCACAAAAAGTTTGATGGAATTTTTCGATGATTCGAAGAATTGGATTGAGAACGAGGTAAAGGTGGGACGAGCTTGGAAATTAGATGAATTGCGCATTAAATCCAATAAAGAATTACATCAATTATGGTATATCTTACTAAAAGAACGTAATATGTTATTAACAATGGAGCATGAATGTAACGACCAAATGGAATTATTTCCCAGTCCTGAACGTTTAGACAAAGTAAAAATTTCCATGAATAATTTAGAAACGGTTGTGAGAGAACGTAATAAAGCCTATCACTTGCTAGAGACAGGCGAAACGGGCGAGAGGCCTCAACGTTTAATATCCAATTGCTTGGGTTTGAGACGTATATACAGGTAAGCCTTCAATGAAAAAGTCGAAATTCAACCAAAAATTTTTCTGTTAATCGCTTAATTAACTTTTTACATTTAGATCTAGTGAGCATGTTTTGCCTCCTTACATGAATGTTAAATGGATTAAATCCCGTTCTATTGGCTATGGGGGTAGAGCTGTACGCAAATTTCTTTTACTTTATCGTGAAAAATTATATAATGAAAAACGCAAAGCCAAAAAGTAAGCTGAAAAATGATAAAACAATTTAACCTCAAAATAATAAAAAACAATTCTCCTTTATCTTAATAGCCGAGCTCGCAATGAAGTAATGATGTTACTGAGGCGCAACCCGAATATAGATCGTAACATATTACATAGCAAATATCCTAATGTAAATATAGACAAAATGGTCTCCGATGATAAAACTAGAGGGCACTATTTGCCAAAAATTGAAGGCTAATTTGAATTGAAATAAAAGCAAACGTTTATTTATCATCATCGTTATCATCCGACAAGTCGAAAATAATTTTTTTTCCTTGAAAAGCAGTAATAGTGGGTTTCATTTTTTGTTTAGCTATCCAGGAAGGATGCAAATCAACATTATTGGAGCTCTGCTCATTTTCTTCATTCGGAAAGCTTATATTTGCAGATTCGCCATCACTATTGTTACCAAATGTTGTTGTTCGCTTGCCTTGAAAACTATTAATAATTGGTTTTACTTTTTTCTTCGCCGCCCAAGAAGGATGTAGAGATTCTAACTCTATAGTACTTTGTGGGTCCTTCTTCTGGCATTTCTTTGTAAATGCTGTAGACTTTCGACGGCTTTCTTCCTTCTTAGGCAACTGTAATTTGTTCCTCGTGTGTTTATTCAGTTTGACGAATTGAAAGTCCTCATCCTCTTTGCCAGAGTCGGTCTTTTCCAAACTAACATTTCTTACTACAACGGCAGTGGATAAATAGTTTTCCCCGCCATTGGTAATGAAAAATGGGTCGATTATATACGTGGTTTCCGTATAGGAATCCTGCGCTTTCTCGAAAGAACTCAGTAAATCCTTTTTTTTTCCATTGGTATCTGTACGTTTCAAACTGCTTCCTCCTTTAGTTATAAGTTTCCTAGAGACAAGCTCTTTGCTTGTTTCTTCTAGAGGACTCTTGAGCTTTTTCGACGGTCGCTCGGCTTGACTTACAACTTGCTTCTCGTTGTCAGGATCTACAAACTCCACCTTCCATTCTCCAAAAGTAGATATGTCAGATCCGCTATTAGCATTTTCCGTTTCTATATTTCGAGTGTTCTCTTCAAGCCATTCTTTACGTTTACGTTCTGTAGCCTTTTGTTCTTTTAGTTGTTGTCTTTTGCGTTTTTTCTCTGCAATAGTTTCCAATTTTTGTTTTTTCTTACTTGATTGCATTAATTCCTTACGCCATGCATGGGCTTCATCTGGCAGTAATTGCAAATCATTTTTAAATTTCTTTATTAACATTTGCATAACTTTATTTAAACTCAACAGGGCTACGGCTAGCTCAGTAGGGCTCACTAAACCATTTGTTAGAACTGTCGGTGGTGATTTCTCCAATGTTAGGACATTTTTCATAATATCAATACGGCTAAGTTTCTGGAATTGTTTCGGTTGTTTCAATTATATGAATTGTGCTCTTTTTTTTTTTTTTTTGCAGAATAATTATTACCTTTACATGTTCCAAGGTCTCTGTAAACTTAAGCAATCTTCGTCGATTTTTCTCATCTTTCCCTCGTTTTTCCAATACGTTTTTCAGTTTGCGTATTTTATTAACAACTTTATTAATAGTCTGTGTGCGCACCCGCTGTATATCCGTTTTATTTGATATAACCTAATCAATGAGAAATTGTAAGTATTAAAAAAATAATAAAAGAAAAATATTTTAATAAAAAACTTACCAAATTATTAAATTTTAATTTATTTAACATTTTAACGAAATCCTTTCAAGTGAAAAGTAATGTTTTTTAAGGGTTGTCGTCGTCACGCAATTTTTACTTAATAAAATTTTGCAAATGAATTCATATATCTTATGAATTTTTTCATATTAGCTTAGAAAACATTCTGAGCGATTTCTCTCTCAGGGCGAAGCGGAGAAAATGTAACATATCGATTCCGTATTCAGTCAATGAAGGCGATTTATTTCATTTATTGGGTTGACTCTTTTAACTGTTCTAAAATACTGTACTTTAACAATCTCGAATGAGTGACCATGAGTATATGGGTTAGTTGCTAATATTATTTTATCTGAGAAAAGAATTTTAAGAAAATGCTTCTTTACTTCATGCTGAAAATTTTAAATGTTTTTTTACTGCTAAACTTTTTCGAGACCCTCAGAGGGAGGCGTCATTTTCGTTTTCGGGTTGGTCACTACCCAGTGGTAAGTAATGGAGAGTCGCGCTACCATATTGTTTTACAGGAAAATGTAAGCAAAAACATATGCTTTTAGAATCAAAAATAAAGAATTCAACATAATAAATAATACATAATAAATTTATAAAAAAATAACAATTTTGTTAATCTTCGTAATCTGCTTATAGTTTATAACACAATCAAAACTCTTTTTGAACATTAAAAAGTCTTTTTGAAATTACTATTTATGAATCTCTAATAGAACAATTTCAACTTTCAAACAAATGGTTTTTATTGTGTGTTTTTCATTTCTTATAAAATAATGCATGCTATAAACCAAAATTGCAAATCATATAATATTAAAAAAATGTACATTAGTCTAAGGTAAACACATTACACACAAACAATTAGATAAATAGCCTTAATATTGAGAATAAACAACTATCATTTTTTTTATGCTTTCTCTTTTCCTTGTTTTCTTTGCATGTTACATGAGAAACCATATGATTTGTCAATTTTCATAAAATTTTGTAAAAAATCGGCAAAGTTGGAGTCCCAAATCGAAAATAAGAAAAACGCCTTATATTGTTAGCCTCCTTTCAGTTTAATAGAAGAATTTGATTCTATTCCGAACCGGGCTTACGTTTACAAAAGAAAAAAAAAAAGCGCATTAATGAAATGCTACGCCCACAATTAACGTAAAACTTTACAATTTATTGATTGGTCTAAAAACATTCCGATGAATGTCATATAGCTTTCTTTCTTTTTTCTTTTTAACCCATTTATCTAATCTGGCAACGCCATTATCAAGAAATGAATAAATTGACTTTGCTGGTTGTGGCTGTTTGTAGAAAAAAGAAAAAGTTGTAAATTCGTATTAACAACGTTAAAGTTCTGTCAAAATACGTGTAAAAGCCATATATATAAAAAATATATCGCGTAAATTATTCCAAAACAAAATGCCGGTAACGAATTTATGTCGCATTTGCCTGGCTGAAGATACTAATGCTAGAGGCATGCAGCCATTATTTGATGAAAAAAATCCACGATGTTCAGAGATTGTTCAACGCATCGAAGAATGCGGTGGCATTGTAGTATGTTGAATATTATTGCATCGCTTTCAAAATTTTGCAAAGCTAAACTTTTATATATTTTAGTTGAAGCCTCACAATGATTATCCAAAAATGCTTTGCTTTAAATGCTTAGATTACTTAAATACCTCGTACAAGTTTCGTTCGATGTGCCAAGCCAGTGAGAACGCTTTAATTGATGCTATTGTTAAGGTAAATTAAAACAATGATTCATAAGAATGTTGGTAAAAAAAGTTACAATTTCTAGTACGAGCTGAAAGTGGAGCCTCAAGAGGTCGCCACAATTAAAAACGCGACGGAAGAAGATGAGGAATATGAAGAAATCTACTTTTCGGAATTTATTGATAATCAAGAAGTTGATTTAGAAGATATCACCGATACAGCTGTTGATTACGCGGAGGCAAAAGAGGAATATGACTTTGTTGCTCTAGACGAGATTGACGCTGACGAAATCGAGGGCGAAGAACATTTGGATGACAGCGACACGGATGACAATGAGGTAGACAATATTATAGACGATGAATTCGTTCCCATTCCAAAGAAAAAACAAAGAACATTTGTAAAAACTGAAGTAAAACGAGGCAGAACTAAAGGTGCTGATGGCAATCCGCAATCTAGAAAAGCGGGAAGAGGACGTATTAAACGTGAAGCCGAACCAGAAACAAATATATGTGAAATATGTGGTAACATGTATAATAAACGGAGTTTGCTTAACATGCATATGAGACGTCATCGTGCTGAAAAGCCCTTTGAATGCGAGTAAGTTTATACTCCTGCTTAAAGTTTAATAAGATAAAATTTCACAATTGTTCCATTTATATAAGAATATGCGGCAAAACGTTTACATGCCCATCGGAAATTGGTCGTCACATACGTATACATACGGGTGAAAAGCCTTATATTTGCCGTTTTTGTGGACGCACCTTCGCCGATCGCAGTACTAATATAAAGCATGAAAGGTTTGAAAAATGTTTCAATTCATTCCGAAGATTGACTAAAAAAAAAAAAAAATTTAATTCACAGGATTCACACTAATGAACGTCCATTTACCTGTCAAACATGTGGAAAATCTTTTACGTATTCCAATGTACTGAAAAATCACATGCTTACCCATACGGGAGAGAAACCGTTTCCGTAAGTTCAATTATTTGCTATGTTTTTCTAATCTCGCTTCAATTAATCTAATTTCAACTTTGACTAAATCAGCTATTTCGAGAGGCTGAGAATTCGATACTATTGCGTAGTAGGTGTGACCAAAGACAGAAATCGATTTAATAACAGCCCGTATATGTGTTCGTACATTGATGTGATATAAAAATAAACTCCTAGGCATCTGAAGATTCATTATGAATGCAGCCACATTTCATCTTTCATATGTGTGTGCACTTTTCAAGTTCGTATCGGTCGAAGAATTATTGCGTATTTTAAAAATTAAAGGATTTAACTCATGAACACTATCTCAGCAATGGTGAATGAAAAATTTTCAATTTTAATTGCAAGAAGTAAAGGGACAAGAACGATTTAATTTTAACCGTTTGCATTCTCAACTTAAACTGCGTTCTTTCTCTTAAAGGCAATTGAGGTTTTAAAACGAACAATTGAAGCTGAAGAATAATGACAGGTTACCTTTCAATAATATATGTATGTATTTGCAATAAGTAAAAACGTTAGAGCGGGACAAGGCTCACTATCAAATAACGCAATTTGAAACCACATATACTATACATAGACTTTTCAAAATAAGGCTTTATGTGGAAAGTGATTCACAATAGGGTTCGTTCTTGAATGAAAGCACATCAATGTACCAATTGTTTGAGGGACAGACAAGCTTAGATCGGTACAATGAAAGCTGGTTTTATCGTAAATCCTTCTGGTTATTGCATAAATTCGTATACATATATAATTTGACCACAAGTGGTGTAGAGTAAAAAAAAAATATTTCGTAATAAAATCACTTTCAATGATATCTTGAAGATTTTTTAAAAGCTAAAAAGCCGCCTATGTGGCCGGGTTACGCTGATGGCCTCGAACAATACTCAATGGGCTCAGATTTCAAGTGCTGTAGAGTTTTGAATAAAGCCAATATAGCCTGGGATGAAAGTGCTTTAAGTCTTCAGTATTTGAAAATATATTTCTCTGGCTAAATTAATTATAATAATTATACTAATATTGTTTTTAATAATTGTAGTTGCGTACCCTGTAATAAAACTTTTTCACGTAAACATCAATTGGATCAACATTTTGCTACTATAACACATCAGCAAACTGTTAGAAGTCTAGAAACTAATAACGCTGAGGCAACTTCTCAAGAGTTCACCATACAAATGGCGGAAGTGAAACCTCATATATTGCATGCAATTAAGCAAGATTATTAATTTTGTGCAAGTAACGAAATCAACAACAACAATAGCAACAAACAACAAAATTTGTATAAAGGACGCAAAATGTATCTACGAACTTATATACTATCTATTATTTGATTATTTGGTCATGTGTGTAATTGTAATAAACATAGCTAAGATTTTAATATATAATATATATCTATATATATATATGTATATATATATTTATTGATTTGTCAAAAGAGAGAACGAGTAAGTCGAATATCAATAAGCTTTGGTTTTCAGTAATTAAATGAGTAAGTTTATGAAAGAAGCCTATATTAAATTCGTTCATCATTTATCATCATCAGTCGCTCGCCTGGGAATGATATGAAAAATGATTCATAAATGGCTGCGCTGTAACATCCGATTCAATGATACGCTTCGCAAGCGAGGATTTTCCTCCATTCAAATTTATGTAAATCGATTTAATTTGTATTTATATATTTATATGAATGAATGAAAAACTTTCGTATCCAATTTCAAATTTTCGTCATTATTTTTTTAACTGATGGGCTTTTCTATTAAAACTTGTATGTATAATTTATTAGTCCTTAGTTTATATTAATTTAAGAAATAAAAAAAAATAAAAAAAAATTAAGAGAGTAAAAGAATAATCAAAAATGTTATATAATCGGACAAGTTAGATCATAAGATCGATTTGCTTAAGACAGTCCTAAGTGAAGAATTTAATAATTATTGAAAACAATATAAAAATAAAAATAACTAAAAAACAAGTAAGAGAGTTTATTCGGCGGGGGCCGATCCTCGCCACTATGCTTTTCGCATTCTACTAAGCAAGTCCTTTCATTTGATACCCATATCGCTAGTATTATTAAGAAAAAATTCATCGCTTTGTTTGTTATTGTATATTAATTTTAAAATTAACCCATTTTTAGGCAGATGGATAAGTGAACAAAATAGTTTTAAACATTTTGTCTTGTTTGCCTTACGATAAATAAGCATAAAACCTCAAAAAAGTGGAAAAAATAAAATTTAATTATTCGTAACCTTGTGTGGGCATAGCCAATAGGTTCCATTTTCAGACCGAAAGAGTAGTGTTTCGTAAAGTAAATGTGGAAAATTTCAGCCGAACAAGAATCCAAAAATGTTGAAGCTTCGTCTTGAGTGTTACATGCATTATGGAAAAAAAATCAAAATGAGTATATATTCAAGAGATAAAACGGACCGAGTCTAAATGGGTATCATTGCTCACATTGCTTAATAAGTGTTCAGTGTCGCGCAATAAATGTTCCCCTTCCTCAATGTATCCGTTAAAACGAGAAATCGAAGTCAATATTCTGTTAAAACAAGAAATATGTACGTACATATCCGAGGTATGATTTGGCATAAAATCGACATAGTTATCTTCAATATGTTTCCGTATCCGTTCCTGAAAATTTGCAGATTACATCTATTACAAAAAAAAAAAGACGATTTTACTTGCTTTTATAATTTTATTATACTTCATTATATTATTTAATATAGATTATAAAATATTCAATTAATTATGCAATTTAATTGTAATGGTATACACACACATCGATGCAGGTGGCATTTCTGACGTTTCCACGCCGAGAGGGGCGTGCGCCTCGGTGACTGCTCCGTCCCTCACGGCCATCGATCGTATTGTTTCCAACGCTTCGAGGCCGTTCGGCCGCTTTTCTTTAACTAAAATTAGTTTATAAAATTATAATTAAAAAAAATATATATTTATTTTACCTTCAGCCATAGTACCGGAATTTACAGGTTCTACATTCTTCAACAGCAACCGCTTAAAAAACCTGGAATAAGAAATTGGAAACTTGAATTCCATGCAAAGTGGGACATTTTTCAAAAATGTATGCTTTTACCCTTGACGGAGTGAGTTTCGTAAAATGTAACAAAAAATGTACGAATTACCAAAAATCGTACGAATGGTTTATTATTTTTAGCATTTTTAATAATAAAAATATGCATTCATCCCCCCTTGTACGTCTCCTGAATAGTTTTATACAATTTTTATAGGCGTGGCATTCGATTTTATCCTATTTTCAAAAAAAAAAGAATATTCTCTTTCCATATATATTCGGCTTCTTCGTTGCGACGGCAATGTCGCAGCTGGTTCATTAACGTTGAATTGTTTTGACGCCCATCGGCGTCGGAGTCTCTCCCTGTTTTCAACTTTCAATTAACTTTTAATTTAAAAAAAACAACTTACCTGAAGATATGTTTTTTTTTTTGCTAAATGTATTTTTAAAATGAAAATTCTTGAAATTTTAGCGCTCTTTTCCAGCGCTGTAGAAAAGAGTAGTTATTATTCAATTATTGCGCTGGATTGATGAAATGTTTGTGGGGTATTATTGGGAATCGATTTGATGATTTCCTGTGCTGTTGAGAACATGTCCGACAAGAAAAATTTTAATAATACAAGTTGTCAATAAATTGTATAAATTACTTTATTCCATTTTTTGCATGCATTTCGATTATAATTCCAATTTTATTGTCCGTTTATATAAGAATGTATGAAATGTTGCCATTTCGGGGAATATTTTTCGTGGTAGAGGATATTTACAATTTTCATTTATTGAAAGCGACTCTGTGATGTCTTTGTTCTCCCCATTCTACATAAATGGGAATTTGTATTAGGAATCGATGTAAAGATAAAAACAAGATGGCGGGAATTCAAAATGATTTCACAATACAGAAGAATTTTGTAAGTGAGCGGTTGTAGAAATTGTAAAAATATCGAATATATTCCAAAAGAAGTGTAAGTGTAAGAAAAGACAATGCAAGTGAAATTATAAGTCATACGTGAAAAATATTGTTTGAACGGTAAGTGCATTTATTTTTCATCAGATATAATTAAAGAATACTTATAGTTTTTTTCTTTTCTTTATTTTTTATAGGATTAGCGGTCAGTTCGAAGCTCCATACATTTGACCTGCAAAAAAAGTTATTTCAATCACATTCAAGTTCCTGAAAAAAGGCATACGTGAAAAATATTGTTTGAACGGTAAGCGCATTTATTTTTCTATACGTATATTTCCTATATTTTGAATTAACTTCTCTCACTCTTACAGAAAAATATATCTAAAATCAAGGAGTCATACAAGCGGATTTACATACATACGTCTATACACATACGTTCACATTTAACCTGAAAAAAAGGGTGTAAGCCAAGATCTCTTGGAGATATTCTTCTTTACCATGGCGCTCGGCTTCAGAATGAGGGCCCGGTCGTCACCAGATATAATGGAGCTGGTAATCGACTGAGAAAGTTTCAATTGTCGAGTTGGTATGACTTGCTCTCCAATAAGATGTCACACATCGAAGAAGAACATCGGCGGCTGATCACCGGGTACACAATACCGTGTTACATCGGCGAGGAGCTAGAATGCAAAGCGTGTATAAAGGATCTGATGTTTAAAGAAGAAAATTTTTATAGAAAGGACAGCGATGGTATAGTTGCGTTGAACAAAGAAGCCAATCTAACTTAGTTCTCAAAATACATTAAGCCGGCATTCGCAACGCCAGAGGTGCACAGGCATTCAACAGCGCCTACAGAATATTTTACGCCGCTAAACACCAACCAATATGGTGGTGCCGAACGTCGGCAAGCGCGTGCAGGCCATCGTGGCGCGGCTTGCTTTTTTCCGGACAGCGGGATTGTGCAGAAGCGGACTGCTGCACCGCACTAATTTACTTGGTTTCGTCATATTTATGCTGCTGTCTGGAAAAAACGTTAGGGAGGAAAAGTATACGAATGTCACGTCTTTCCAAGAAGCAGAGTCCTCCGCGTGTCAAGCCCTCCGCTCCTTGCAATATTCGCTGTTTTATAAGGGTAAGTTTGAAGTTATCTTTACTGATTGTCATTTATAACTTGGTCATTTATTTCTATTTAATTTCAGATTAAGACGCAAGATGAGTCGCCACCAGACCATAGAAGCGAATATCCTGATTGGGACGTTAAATGCACTAAATTTCTGTAAGCGGGATCTTTGCAGAAGGCAAAAATTAATTGAGTCGTGGGGGTCGAGTCGTGATGTGAAAGCATATTAAAGCGTTGCATAAGTAAATTTCTGAAAATAAATTGTAAATACATTTTCTAATCTTAAAAATAAAACCTACAAATCGGGATTCGGCGATATGCTTTCGAGTTTTTGAAGTTTCTTTCTACGTCTTATAAAGCTATTGCAAAATTTTCATACACTATAATATTGGGTAGGCGTGGTCAATTTTTTCCATTTTTGTACAGGTCCTACAGTATTGCCCATAGAATATGCCTTCAAATTTTTGTACAGGCGGGCAGACGGACATACAAGCTTAAATCGGTGAAAAACTTGATGCTTTATGAGACCTTCCGAGTTTCCTTCGGCGTGTTGCAAACGCTTTGACAAAATGTATATACCCTTCTTTTTTGCGTGAATGTTTACAGCGCACATTACATAAGAGGACAGACAGACGTGCAAAACTAAATCGCTTAAAAGTTTGATGCTTTATGGGAGCTTTGGGAACTTCTTTCTGCGTGTTGCAAACGCCTCGACGAATTGTGTATACCTTACATCGTTCATAAGTTCAAAGACTGCAAATTACTTCCCCCGCGGTGAGTTTTATTTTTTTGTTTTTTGGCTTTAAATAGATCAACCATGATTTTGTAATATTATTAAATTGGTCGACAGCTAAGACTGATGGGATGTTCACCAGATACGTTTGCATTACAACCACAGAGTTTTGTATTTGTTTCTTTAAATATTTTTTTTTATTAAATTTTTTAATCGGCTTTTACAATTTTTATCTATTTATTTATTTTCTTTTTTTTGTCATTTTTCAAAGCAAATATTTGCAACTTGATTTTAAATAAATTTTCTTTTCGTTCTATATACAATTTCTTTTTGTTTTTATTTTTTAAATATTTTATATTAGTATGTAAGTTTTTGTATTATTAGTAATTTTTACTTTTATTAAATTAAAAAAACCAAAAAAAGGGATGTTTTTAAAAAATATATGTGTATATATATATATATATATATGTTTACTAGATATATTTACAAAACATTTGTCAGTGGAAAAATAAATCATATATATAAAAATGTGAAAAAAATTTGAAATTAAGAAAATTTTGTAATACCAGGAGGAGACTTTAATTTATAAAGATTTAATTTTTAAATTAAACAATTCAAATGTTTTTTTTTTTTTTCTTTTTAAATGTGTATATGAAATAAGAAATAAAAATTTTCAACTTTACTTTTAATAAGCTTACAGAGTTCTCATTATATTTATATATAGTATATTAATAGAGTAAAAAAAGAAGAGCCTCTCTTTTTGTTATATAATTTTTTAAGGATTAATTTTTTTTTTTTTTCTCTTTTTATATACTTGAAGAATAGTGTTGTTGTTGGCATTTGTGTATGTGTGTATGTGTGTGTGTGTATGGTTGAGTGTGAGTGCATGAGTATACACAGTTGTGTTTGTAGTTGAAAAAATAACGGACTTTTGTATTATGCAGATCTACTAGCGTTTTCTGAATGAGCCGTCGAAGTGCCTGTTAAATCGTTCAAAAATTCTCAATGAAGTTTTGCCGAGCAATTGCAGAAAATTTCATAAGGAACATTTACGGGTCGCCGCCACGAACACTTATAAGAGAGCCGAAGGAGAAAGAGAGAGAGTGAGAGGAAGGTTCTTATACCGCATTAATTAATGCATTGAGAATTTTGATAGGAAAAACCGTTTCGTTCGCTTTACAGAAACTGGGAATATAGAAAAAAAGAGAGTGAGAGAGGAAGAGAAAAGAAAGACAAAGCAAGTCTCTAGGTAAGTTTGTTTGTTATTCTGTTGAAGAAAGTATTTTAGTTAAAATTGCTTATTTTATTGTTGTTGTTGGTTGATATTGTTTTTGTTATTTATTAAAAGAAAATTATTAAACTATTATTTAAAATTTTTCACTTATTTCCTGTTCTTTGTTTTTGTTTCCATTTTTGCCTTTTGTTAGCTTTTATCTTTGATAAAATAATTAAAAATTAAAATTTTTTTAAGATCATTATGCTGCAATATCGCATTAGACGTGTATGGTAATGTGGTTTATTGGGGCTTAGATTAAATTTATTATTGTTGTTGTATTTGTTGTTGCTGCAGACACTCCAGTGTAAACAAAGCCAAAATAAATCTCAACACTATTCTAATATCGGAAAATCCGTTTCATCTTTAGGCTCTAATGAACGATACTCGTCCGAATCCTCACTCGTATTCGTAGCCATCGAATTCAATATTGAAGGCAGATCTTGATCAGTTCTCTCTGATGATGCTGTAGCAAGATTTCTGATCGGAAACGTTTCAGATTGTTGAATAAGCGGTTGCACATCCTCTTCATCGCTGCAAGAACTCAGGGTGTCTGTATTGATAGTATTGGTAGTGCTAGTAAAGGTGGTTGTGTTGGTGGTGGTTGTTACAGACATAGCGGTCGATGCCAATACAATATCCATAATTAATTTGCTGGCTGTTGGCTGCTCAGTTATCACAGAATGTGGTTGTGTTATGGTTACAGGTTGCTCTTCTTCGCTTATTTGCTTACTACTAGTTGATGCTGCCACGATTGCAGCGGGAGTTTCATCTTCTTCGCCTACACTTGTGTAACGGCAACGATCGCTTAGCATGGAAATTGGTTCATCATCTTCTTCGTTGATACTATTTATACTTAAGGCGCGTTCTTTATATTTCAACGAAGAAGAAGGTTGAGTTGTTGTCGCGACAGTTATAGCCGTGGATGCACCAGTTGATGACGGCATATCAACTACGTCCTGATTTGTTATGCCAATAGACACTGCGGCCGCTAAACATACAGCACCCATGCCAGTTGTCGTTACTATTGCCGAGCCGCTGGGAGCCACTGTGGTCGAAGTAGCTACCTCACTATGACTTTCAACGTGCGATACCGAACGGTTTATCGAGCAAGAGAATGCTGGAAATTACAAAAATACTATTCGTATTTTTTTTTATAACTGGTCTCCCTAAATGCATTCATACTTACAATCTAAACGTTCCTGTCTTGTGGTTTGCCTAAATGGTGCCAGTTTGATGCGATAAAACTTTGAGCCTCTCGAGACGCGATAGCGATTTTCATCCTATTAAACGAAGGAGATTTTAATTAATTACTGCTTGCATAAATGTTGAACTCGTTACCTTGCGCGCTTGGCAGCATTCCTTTTCGATAACCCGTCCTACCGCGTAGTAGGGCATGGGTATAGAGGGCGTCGCTTCATTCGGCTGAGGCAAACGCAGATTTAGACCAGCCAGACTATCACCGTGAACGAAATACAAACTCGGCGAATCCTGGACTACTATAAACTGACCATGACGCACGCTCCAAACTACGAATACTAAATCACCTTTACTGCAAGATTTCAAGACAATAAACTTTTGACTAGTAGTTGCTGTACTCGATTTGGAACGTGATAAGGCTGTTTGGTCATAAGTAGATCTGAATATACAAAAAAGGCTCATTTAATTTAAATCATTCTTCGTCTCACACTATCTCAATAGGCTTGCATATGCTTGCTATTTTTCTTACCCTTTAAGTGCCGCAACTGATGTTTCCATTTCGAGGCGTCTTGATTTTTCTACGTTTAATTCCTCCTCTAAGCGACATTTGTCTCGGTTCAGATATTCGATTTTCTCTTTAAGCCAACTATTACCTTCCTCGTTGGTCAATGCATCTAGACGTGTCTTTAATTGAAAATTTTCCTTAGTTAGCATGAGATCCTTTTCGCGTAGCTGATCCAATTGACGTTCCTTTTCTTCCAGCATATCTTTCAATATGCCAGCATTCGCCATCACGGAAACAGAGCGTTCTAATTCTATAGCCACAGCAACGGCCTTGTCCTTTTCTGCTTCCAATTCCGCCCTTTGCTGAGCTAGAATTGTTTCGTGGTAAGCGCGTTCTATATAATCGGGCGATAAAGTAATAGAACGTTCGATTTTTTCTAAACTGCTGCCTTCCGTAGGTGCATATTCCATGGATGTCATAAGCTTGAAGCGTTGACGCAAAGATTCAATTTCAGTTTTATGTTCGTGGATCAGTTTCTCACGAGCTTCTGCAACGGCCTTATCTTTTTCGAGATCCTGTTTGCTTAGACGGTCCCGCAACTCTCCCAATTCCATCTCCATGGCAGCGTACTTTATTTTTACTGCTTCCATTTCGTATGTTCGCTCTTGCATTTTTTGTAATTCCAACTCACGATCGCTAGCCGTCTCTCTGAGTTGTTTTAATTCTTGTAGTCGTTTCTCATCGTTTGCTTGCAACATTTCATCGCGAGCGTTACATTGCATCCGCAATATATTGCATTGGTCGTTGAAGGATTGTAAGGTCCAGAGCATATCGTCGCGGTGCGTTTCAGTTTGCTGTCGAAAATTCGTCAAATCGCTACGAGTCAGCTGAATAGAGTTGAAAGCAAGCTTAGACATCGTTCCTAACATAATACGCATACGATCGATTTCCGAACGTATGGATTCCTCGCTTTCCTCGGTTAAAGTTTCGGCACTTTGCACTATTGGTTGTTCGGTGGCCGTACTTTTGGTAAATACTTCCAATTGAATATCACTGGTTGATGTGGCCACAGATTGTGATGACGCTGGTACCTTTTCAAATTCGGTTTCAGTATCAGTTTCCGACTCTTCAAAATTGGCCTCGGATTTGCCCTGCTGGCGTAACTCATTTAAACGCTGCAATTGCGGTAACTTAATACTAGCCGCCATAGCGGCTCCTTCCTCAGCGTCTTCGACGGGTTGCTGATATTTGGCCATGCCTGCTTCACTAGCTCTTTTTCTTTTGAGCAAATCCTCAAGTCTCTCTCGTTGATGTATGCCCGAACGTGAAACAAAAAAGTATATCACAGGTTCCATGTCGGGCAAACGTATTTGCGAGGCCATCTCGGGTAAATAGTGGGTCAGCATATCGATATCCGTGTGCGTAATGTTCGGTAAACGCGCATCAAATATTAAAGGGTTTTCGTTAGCAAAAGCCGGCGGCATATCGTTCATCCCCGGGAATAGAATATTTAAAAAGTGTCCCTCAAAATTGGCATTGAATCGATTGCGTCTGCTCATCTCCTCGCTGTGTATAGTTTCGAAATCCTCAGCTAACTTTGAAGCCCATAAACGGAATTCATTTGAAAATATTTTGCGGCGCATAACTTCGGTAACCGCAGCAACGTACATGTGCGGCGCTTGATGAATCTGTTCAATAATATGAATATGACGCTCGACGCGTCTTAAACAGCGATGATGGAATAATAAACGATTATCAGCCTCACTCATAGCATTCTCAACGACATCGATACGATGCAACCGGGCTTGCAAATGCATACTTAATTCATCTTTAGCCTTGCCTATACAACGCCTATAATCTCGAATTTTGAAATGATTCTGAAGCATCACTTTCAATTGGGATTGATGTGATGCACAAAGATCGGGTAAAATAGAAGCATCACGTAAATTGATGGCTCGATTTTGATTTTGATGAAACGCGGTTGACAGTTCCTTTTGGTCTTTAACCATATTTTTGATTTTGTATATAAATTCTTCTAATTTGCAAAGTCGTTCACTGAGTCCTTTAATCTCTAGTACGTCGCTTTGCTCGGCCGATAAGATGACTTGGTGTATCTCATCTTTGAGTTTTTTATAAATTGCCTCATTAAATGTGCCCAAACCTTGTGTACACTCATCGGACATGAGTTGCAATGTGTAACGATTCTCCTTCGAGGTAATCCATTGTAGCAAATTAAGACGACGTATTGCATTACTGTTCGCTGATGTTTCGGAAATATGTGATTTTGGATGTACTAAATCAGTGGATTCGGTGCCCATTTTTAGTTTTTTATTGGGTGATGTAGAGCTTTTATCATTATCGTTGGCGTCCATACCACCTATTGCTCCTTCATCGTCGGCGTCCGTTTTCTCGGTCATTCCTGTCGCACCAGCCATCAGCACGGACGCTTGTTGGTTTTGCGAACGTGAGAAAACATCGTCGTTATCGAGATACTCATCAAAGCCATGAAAATCGGCTTCCGCTAAAGGCATTAAACCAGGCAATATCGGTATACGCGACAATTTGCGCAGATCATCGGCAAAATATCTTAATAATTCGAAATAGATACAACGTTTATCCAGATGTTTGTCGAAAACTTCGCAAAAATTCCTGTAACGTTGCCGAAACTCTTCGGTTAGATCTTCCACATTTGCTACCATAGCCGACCAGCCTTGTTGTTGAAGATGTTGATCGTGAACTAAACGCTCACATAATCGCTCTTCTTCTCGCGCCAAATCATATATACGTCCAGCCAATTGTGCTCGACGCACCACTGTTTCATAGACGGCTGGCAATTCTAAGCAACGCTCCACTTGCTCGCGTAAATCAAAATCCGCATCGACGGAAGGCAACAATGACGGCGGCAGTCTAACGTCACCCGTTAAAAACATATAAATCGGATTCGTATCCGTGCCGGCTGAATAATACGAAACTTGCGTGGAATGTGTGAGCATTTCACCGCCACTCACTAACAGTACAATGTTTGCCGCTGGTATGTTATGCAAACGTTCAATAGTATCTTTGAGGCTTTCGACCGACGATAAGGCAACAGTCATGTCAAAATTTAACATACGGCCGACATCAACTTGAAATACATATAACATTTTGCTATATAATTATTGGATCCGTTTCAGTCGATATATTTTTGAGTTTGCCAAATTTTATTGGCGGAAAGAAATAGAAGAAAAGGGGGAAAAAGAAAGCGAAGCTAAGCGAAATAGACGGCTTGGCGAGGAAACGTTATGGGATTATTGTTAATATTTATGGCAGTGTTGCTTCACACAACTACAACAGATGTACATGTGTGTGTGTTGACTAATAATTTAGAAGATTGTGTTAATTTAATATCCAGCATTAGGTCCGCTGCTCCTCGTCCAATCACGCACCATAAAGTAAAAATTTTCTGCGATGATGTGATAATAAAATCTGAAAGAAAAGAATAAGAAGAGGAAAAAATGGTTAACTTTAGATGTTAAAAAATTTAGATTACAAAATTATCTACCGACTGTCACCCACTGTACCGCTCGACAATGGTATATACTTGTTATATTATCAGATATGGTAGGGGATTACAACCGGTTTATATTACAGTGATTGAAATTCTTTAATTGATTGTGAAATTATATTCAATATAAACAACAACAACAACAACAATAAGGAAAATATTTTTAATGTTGCTTTGAACTAAAACTATAGTTTAACAAAATCAAAATTAAAAGGGAAAGCTTAGAATCTAACCGTAAGGAAGATATGAATAATTCCTCCTGTGGCCACTACCTACCTAACAAGAGAAGAGGAGCAACGAACGGATTCGAAGTCAATTAATAAAAACTTGCGGAGTTAAACCGATAATTGCAGGCTGTCTATTATAATAATGTTATTTCTGTTCGTCTTACCTCACTTTACTTTCCTGTCCCCTAATTTAATCATATAAAAAAAAACACAAAAAATCAAGTGGGAAAGTTATATTCGGCAGGGAGTAAATTTCGCTTACCCACCACTATGCTTTTCGCATTCTACTCCCCAAATTCTTCCATATATCGCTGGTATTATTACGAAAAAATTATTCACTTTAAAATTAACCCCGTTTTTAGGCAGAGAATATATCGTCATGTGAGGAGTTTACAAAATAGTTTTAAACATTTTGTCCTCTTTGCCTTATGATAAATAAGCACAAAACCTCAAGAAAGTGAAAAAAGTAATATATAATTTTTCGTAATCTTGTGTGGGCATGGTCGACTGGTTCCATTTTCCGACCGAAAGAATAGATTGTTTCGTAAAATAAATGTGGGAAATTTCGGCCTTTTAACTTTAATAATTTCCGTGACGAGAAAAATCCAAAAAATTTTGTTAAAAAAACCTGAGTTGCATTCAGTTTACGCTTCACTGCGCGCTTTCGTTCTGACCAATTTTGCCCATTTTCTCTACCAATTAGCGTTTAAAAGCCTCCAATGTCTCCATCAAATTTGAAGTTGATATCTTCATCTTTGCGACCAGGAGGATACCAACAATACACATCATGCAGACGGACGTGGCCAGATATGGCTAAATCAACTCAGAATTTCACGCTGTCAAATATACATATATTTTATAGGGTCTCTGAAGCCTTCTTTTAGGTGTTACGCACATTACAAGAAGGCCTCTATGTTTTAAAATATGGTTCAATTTTATGCATTTTGTATAGGGGAGTCGTTTTTGCCCTTAACGAAAAGCATATCAATGTGTAATAAAATTCATCCAACTATCGACTGCGGCCGACGGGCTGAAAAACCGGTTAGACAGATGGACGGAACGGTTTCAATCTCAAATTCGGAAAGTGATGGGGAAACGATTGCTTTAATAAGGACTTGTTTTATATATATCACACCTTTCGATCTTAGCAAAAATGAGGTAGTTGGGCAAAAAAAAAGTTTTCGAATTTTCGAAAAGAGAAAGATCTTCGTTAAGATGTACTTTACTTGCTTACTAAAGCGCTAAGCATGCAAAGCTAAAGCTTTTTGCTAAACAAATTGATTGAAACCCAGTTTTCTTGCTGCAAAATCTCTTTTCATTTACCATATTTATGATTGCATTAGGCATCAATGTCCTAGAGAATTAACAAAGAACTAATTACAAATTTTTATTCTCAAGAAAATCCGAATCAATTTTTTTGTTATTCTCAAATTTGCGTTCACTGACCCCCTGCACTTGTCAGGAGGGAGCACAACGAACGAAAAGTGCAACAAAAACTTTATAAAATAAGAAAAATATATACTGTTGGACGGCACTTTTGTACCCACCACCGAAGTGTGAGCAATGCATTCATTTGCAATACCCAGAAGGACCCCTTCCCCAAAGACCTTACAAAGTATATATGTATATATGTTTTTTGTCAACAACAAATTCAAGCATGTCCGTCTATCTGTCCGCGTAATATCTGTGGTAAACATTCTTGTTATTGCAAAAATGACGTCATTGGTATCAAAATTGATAAAAACGCTATGAATGTAAGTACGTCTGTCTGCGTAATGTCTGTTGTAAGTATTCTCCTGGTCGCGAAAATGAAGCCATCGACTTTAAACCTTGAATTTGGAATGCATCCAAGCATGTCTGTCTGTTAGTCTTTGAAAATTACCCAAACCGGTCAAAGACCAAGCCTTCAATGCCCATACGCCTATGCAGCAAACACTGTGAACACCTTTGAATGGCGTGATTTTTTGCTTGTTACTCATAAAGTGCAAACATATACACCCGCTAAATATACAATTTCTGAAAATAGAAAAAAATCAGCGCGCCCATCCAATATTAGAGAGTTAGTTTTTTTGCTTTCTTTGTCTTCTTTAGGATACCGGTGATGCGTGTGCAAAATTCGGTCACGACCGAATATAATTTTCTAACCTGTTTTATTTTTGTTTAGTGCGGGTTGGATTGTTTCATAACAAAATTGATATTGAAGTGTTTTTTTTTTCAAAAACTATGAGAAGAATACACATTTTTTCCTCTTATGACCGAAAGAAGGCCCTTAATCGCTTATAGTTTACAGTAAAGTCTTATTAGTTTATTTTGCTTTGCTTTTTAATTTCTTTGACTGTGACGATGATTGAGTTTAAAGTAATCTGTTTGTTTCAAGTGTAATTGTTAATGTGATAAAAAAAGATATATAATTATTGGTTGTTACGATTGGTTGTTAGCTAAGGCAAATCGTTAAATTTTTCTTTGAATTTGTCTAAATAAACCATTGAGAGTGTCTTTTAGGCTTTTTTGAATATTAAGTTATTGAGATAATAATTAAGATCTTTTGTAAGTGACGACGGCAAGTAATCAAAATTGTTTTAAAAGATGAATAAGAAATAACTTTTTGTTTATTCCCTTTATAAATCTTTTATTATTAATATTATTTTTGTTTTTTTTAGTGTTATAAATTCACCTCTTTCTTTCACACTTTTTTAACATTTATCAATTTTGTTAATCAGGCTGTTTTTTCTTTCATAATTATTGTTATGAATGAGTATAATAAAAAAAAAGTTGTAGATGTCTAGACATTTTTAAAATAATTTAAAAAAGTAACAACAGAAGTTGTTGATTTTTTTTTGTACTCTGCACTGATAACAAACACACTCGTTAGATTTTGGTTAATCATGCACAAATTAACCCAGCGAGAAACGTAAACGGAATGAGTATAGAAAACTCTTTTTCATATAACGTCACCGTTGTATTGAAAATCATAATAAACCTGAAAGAGATTACACTCTCTATGTAGGTCGACTTTGTTTATACCTACGCTTATTTAATTATTTTTTGTAATTACACTCATCAATGAAGAAGCATGGTTGGGTATACAAAATTTTTCATTTTGCTTTTTGCAGAAGCTAGATATACGAATTCGAGATGCCCTAAATGCACTTTCAATATAACTAAAATCGTTCATCTATCTATTACAAATTAGTAATAAGTCACACACATTTTTAATAAGGGGTGTGTCATCGCCCCTAAAGAACTGTAATAAACAAATTCTCATAGATACCTTTCGGAAAGTTTCATTTAACTATTAATCGAGATCACCTTAACGCAATGCAAAAATAATTATGTTCAGTCTTCTCCATGTCATCTCAACTGGAAAAACCTGTTGCAATATTTATCTATATATTCGTGCAACCATCGTCCGTCCCAAGGGGAATATAACTTTTTAAGCGTTTTGCAAGTTTTCATCAACAATATATCTGAGCTGGAGAGACCTTATTGGTTATACAAAAAAAGTATATGAAAGGTAAGTGAAATAAATTTAAAAAAAGAATCACAACGTCTTATAAATTAAGAATTAGTTTTTAAAAATTTTTTCCAAATCGATCAAGTAGCTTAGTCTGTAAAACTTAACTCATAAGTTATGTGCATTCGAAGGTGGACAAAATCCCCTTACGTATATTTTTTAAAGAAAAGCAAGAATTTGTTTTATGTCGTCGAAAAGTATTGTCTTGCATGCATTATAAACGTTCGATAACTTAATATACTCTCTCTTCGTACTTGGCTTAACAAAAAATGTATAGTAAAGCATGCCATCGATCACAAACAATTGAGTAAGACAGTGAAAAAAGGAACAAAGGAAGAGAGAGGGAGAGAGAAAGAGCGATAGAGTTGGTCAAAGAGAGCAGTGTTTGGGGGAGATTTATGAAACTAAACTGAACAATTTATTTATTTACTTTTTTTTTTTTATTTTTTTTTTTTGGTATTTTCAAGAACACGTTTTTGCGTGTTGGTTTTGAATTCAATATAAATGGTCATAAACTAATGACAAAAATACACCAGCCAATGCGTATGTATTTATGTTTACATAAATCCATTTACACGCATATTATTACACATCTTCATGTAACTGCTTAGGTAGAAATATAAAGTTAGAGAGCTGTATATACGCCTTGGACGCGAACTTGATTACTTATTATATGAGATAAACATATATGATGAATTTTTCTCCAATTTTTTTTCGTTTTTTCAACGAAATTAAAATTATTATTGTGCTAGAAATTTAACATGCTTTATTTAGGAATTTCTGTATGGCAACACTTTTAAAAAACTTATGACTAGAGGACGACATTAACTCACCACACAAATTCACATTGAATCCTACTTTTGACGATTTCCAATTTTTTTCATTTCATCTCTTTACTTTCAGGGAATTCCTGACCAAATTCTTGGATAAAGACTTGGTCTAAAAAAGTGATTTAAAGAATTACTTTTTCTTTTTTGTTAAGAATAGCAGCTGTTTTGCTTTCTACAGATTAGATTGGATGGCTAAATTCGGTTTAACTACATCGTCATTTTGGGTATTGTAAAAACAAATAACAAGAAATCGTGTAACTTTCGAATGTACATACACACACACACAACGGTGTTCCGTACAATATTACAAATTGTTTACATTACAGCCATATATAAATTAATTTGATTAG